TGTGAGAGATACAACGACTGGTCACCTCTTGCACAGCTGGGGGCCTGGCCCACAACCCAGGCCTGTGTCCTGGACTGAGAATCAAACCAGGGACCTTTCGGTTTGCAGGCCAGCGCCTAATCCATTGAGCCACACCAGCCAGGGATAGAACTGTTTTTAAACAAAGCATGCATGCTCCACTCCCAAAGGGCTACTATTGCTGCTTCTTTTAGCTATTTCTGTGGTATTGCTTCCATATTTCAAAAAATTAGTTTACAAATCTCTTGTCAGTTGGATGTTGCCCATTGACTTCCCACTTTTGAAGGCAGAGTATTCGCCCTCTTTGGTATATTGCTTTACCAATAATTTTAGCACAATTTTTGGCTAAATGAATATTTAGTGCTTATGTTATATGAAAGTATTGTTCACGTGGAGCAATGTACACTAAGAAACACTTATGTTCTAGGATTTATTTTTTTCCCTGGAGTTACTTGATTCCGTGTGTCTGCGACCCTTTCACCCCCAGCCTCCCCAGTGGAAACGACTTCTCCACTCCGGACTGGCTGTGCCCCGCGGGGGCCCTGGCCTCGCCTTCACTACGCAGGGATTCCTGGGGTGGAGCGCCTATTTCTTGAGTCCAGGCTCCCGGGAGTTTCTTGGTTTGTGCCCTTGTTTTGAGAGGTGCACCCCTTGAGCCTTCCACTCTCCTGTGAGATGGGTGGCTTGACTGAGGACAGCACACCGGGGGCTGGATGATCTCTCTCATGTCCTCCAGCTTCCGTCTCGGGCAGCTGGACATCTGAGGCTGTCCTGCTTCCTCATCCTCTGCTTCACACACATTTGTGTTTATTTTTCTCTCTCTCTCTCTCTCCCCGAAAGCTTGCAGAGTCTTCTCATTCTCCACATCCTGCACGTGGGCAGTGTGGTTTTGGGGGGTCTCTTTGCACACGTTGTGCTAAAGTCAGTGGGCCCTGTTGTGTCTTCCCCTCCCAGAGAACTTTCTTGAAGGATGCCTTCTTCCACTTCTGCTCTCTCTTTGTGGGACTCTCCTTTGTCACACGCAGGCACTTCCTGAATTGCTCTTTCAATTTCCTGGCCTGCATTTTTTTTTTCTTTTTGTCTTCTCATTCTTTTCCATCCAACCCTTCTGTTGACATTTTTTGACTTCCAGGTTTTTAATTTCCAGGGGCTCCCTCTGCTTCTTTGACTGTTCCTGGTCACAAGGCCGTTTAAAACATGCTTCCTGGCTTCTGTGTCTTGTCAGCTCTCGGAGGTGACATAATATGCACTGGGCCTTTCCTGGAATTGTTTTCTGTTGTCTCTTTCCTCCACGTTACTTCTGTCTCTCTCTTTGGGTTGTAGTCTTCATTGGCTAGTATGAATGTGTTTTTTTAACGATTTAATTTATTAATTTTAGACAGAAGGGAAGGGAGGCAGAGAGAGATATGAGAGAGAAACACCATTTGGCTGCCTTCTGTGCACATCCCAACTGGGGACCGAACCTGCCAGTGGGCTTGTGCCCCGACCAGCAATCGCATCAGAGACCTTTCACTTTGTGGGGCAACGTCCGACCGACTGAGCCACACTGCTCGGGGGTCACTGACTGGCATGTATGAGGGGAGTGCTACAGAGCCACAGGAAGCTCCTTGCCATGGGGGCGGCTCCCCCCAGGTGATGTTGGGGGGTTGGCCACTGTAGGGGATCCCCCAAACATTAGCTGCATCTGCAGGGCTTTTCTCATGGCCTGATGGCCATCGTTCTAGAAGCTGAGACGGGGAAGGCGTCTGGGGTCACTGTTCCATGGGTGACTTTTCCTTCAATCACCAGTTCTCGCCCTCGAGACTGCCCTCCACCATGCCCACGGCCCTGAGGCTGAGCCCTTCTCTGCAGCAAGAGTTGAAACTGCATTTTATTACTAAGTTCTCCCCACTGCTCTGTAAGGTTGGTGCTACTAGTTTTAATCTGCTTTTACAGAGTGTCGAGGAGGCAAAGTGAGCTGTCCTGACACCCCACAGCTGATACGTGCAAGGGCTAATCTGGGCCCAGGGCCCAAAGTCCCCCTCACCACATGAAGTAACAACTTCTGGTTCATCTCTGGTTTTCCCCAGGGAGGGTGGTGTTTGCTGATTGCATAGGGAACAATTCCCCACATCCCTATGGGGAAGACATATGAATGCCCACGGCACGTAACAGGTCTCCCACAAACACGGGTTGAGTGAATAAGAGAATGAAAGAACCGTAGTGGAGGAAATGTAAATGTCACAGAAGAAAACCTGTTAAAACTTATGTCCATGTGCAGAAAAGTAATTTTTAAAATGAGAAGGCACAGTCCTGCCTTGGGAGTGGTGCCTGGGGCCCCGTCCTTTGCAGTGGCAGGGAAACTGGCAGAACTCTCACGGGGCATCAGCTTCCACCCGGAGACCTCACATGCCTTCTGGAGTCACGCCTTCGAGGAGAAACTCCATGCTTGGGAGGGACGGAATCCCCACTGTTCAAGAACATTTTGCCACGTTATAATTGATAACTTTTGAAAACGATCGAAATGTCTGACAGGAGGGGAATGTTAAGCAAATCAGCATGTGTTCATTTGGTGAAATATTATGCAGCTATTAAAAATGACATCTCTTTATAGTAGCCAAAATAAGTCTGGCTTATTTTATGGAGCGTGATGCCCTCCAGGTTCATCCTGGGTGCAGCACAGGTCAGAACTTCCTCCTGTTTGAAGGCTGAGTGTTCCACTGTCTGGATGGACTGCCTTTTGCTGATCTGCTCATCTGTCAGTAGATGCTTGGGTTCTTTCCACCTCTAAGCTCTTGTGAATAATGCTGCTGAAAACATGCGTGAGCGAGTGTCTGTTTCCCAACACGTTTTATTTCTCCAAGCTTGGGCAGATACCAACAGGGTGCTACTCCCCCCCACCCCAGTCCTCCGGGGTTGCCCTCCCCACTTTGAGGAGAAACAGGTCCTCGGTGTGTGTGCTCAGCAGAGCCTTAGTCTACTTACCCACATCTTCTCAGCCCTGGAAGCCAAACTAACAAGAGAACCACGGAGAAGATGGAGCCAACATTTTCCCAAACAAGCTACTGGGACCAGCTGAGCCTTGGAGATGCTCCTGCTAACCAAGTGTGACTTATTTTTGGACCAGGGGACATGGTGTGTTTTCCTGGCTATCTTTCGGTGTTATCTGTGACTTTGCAGATGAAGCCAACAGATGTGCCCTTCCTTTTTTTGTCTTCCCGGGACTGCCTGCCAGGTTCAGCTCCAGCCCTGCCCACACACCTCACGTCATCTCGCCCACACGCAGGCTGCTGTCTCCTAGCAACCAGGCTCGCAGCTCGCATCCAGAAGCCCGAAGTCCTGCTCACTGTCTCAGGCTGCTTCTCCCCTCCTGGCAGTCAGGCTCCTCAGGAGCCCAGCACAGTGCCTTCCCTCGGGCCCGTCCTGGAGTCCTCTGGTGAGCGGAAAGAGGGCTGGGGAGATTAGGAAAGCCCACTCTTCAGGCTTTGAGCAAGCTTATCACCCAGACGTTTCATCCATCTGGACTGAATACACAGCTAGCCCACCACTTGATTTGCTGTCACGCAGCCTAATTTCATTGAATTATTTTTGGAGTTACTGTGGGGGCATATTTAATTTTCTGTCAACAGAACTGGTGTTAAACTACCTAGTGGCAAAGACAATATCCATCTTCCCCGGGAGCCAGGGAGGGACTGGTGAGCGGTGATGGGTGATGTGTTTTCCAGGAGCTGCCCCTGGCGGGATGTAAGGGAGGAAGTGAGTCTGCGAGTGTGCGTGCGGTGCACAGCGGCAGGACGCAGGGCTCTGCACACAGCTGCAGCTGTGACGCATGCCTGCCAAGCCTTGTCTGGGAGACAGAGACATTCTCCCATTCCCTCATGGCACTGCCACTGCCCTAACTGAAGCCTCTCACCCCAGCTGTCACAGTAATTTCTTGGGATGAGACAGAAACAAATGGTGTCTTCCTAACTGCCAGGAGGCAAATTCCTCTTATGAGAAGACCTGTGTTTGGGCATCTCAAGTATGGCTTCAAGCCTTTAACATATTTACTGAGCTACTACTATGTACTTGGTGTGTTCTAAACCTGGGGACAGTGTGGTGAGGTAGATCCATTTCCTGTCCACAGAAAATTCACATCCTGGGGAGGCAGATAAGTAATTTTTTTACATTCTTTTTTAATTTAAAAAATGTTTATTGATTTTAGAGAGAGAAGAAGGTAGAGAAACATCAATCTGTTGTTCCACTTATTGATGCATTCACTGGTTAACTCCTATATGTGCCCTGACCGGGGATGGAAGCTGCAACTTTGGTGTATCGGGACGATGCTCTAACCAACTGAACTACCGACCAGAGTAGATAATGGGTGATTTTAGTCAGTTATGTGGCAGGCTGAAGTGGTCAAGGAGGCCTCTCTGAGGAGGCAGCATGTGAGCTGAGACCTGAAGGCGGGGAGGAGTCGATGGCCACACGGGTCAGGGGAAGAGCTTACTACACAGTGGGAACAGCATGTGCAAAGGCCCTGGGGGCGGGAACGAGATTGGCTGGCCTAATGACAAGCAGTGACTGATGAGTCTGAAGTGGAGTTACTGAGGCAGAAAGTGGCAGATTGGTTCTTGTGGGGGCTTCTTTGGGACTCTGAGTTTTACCCGGAGCTCTTGCTGTGGGAGGGTTGAAGCAGCAGAGTGACAGTGTGGATGGAGCATAGAGGCGGGAGTTCCTCAGCACAAAGGAACCCAGGTGGTGGTAGTGGCCAGCCTGGGCAGCTGGGTCAATGGCATAGTCGCCCACCAGGATCAAAGGGAGAGAGCGGGCGTAGGGGTGAAGCTTCTCCCCCGTGAGGTGAAGGAGACCTGGACCCTGTCCCCATGCTTTGTCTGTGGGAGAAGTGCAGCAGCTGGAACACCCCTGCCCAGAGCCCTGAGAGCCCAGCAGGGTCCCCTGCGCCCTGAGCTAAGGACTGAATGGTCCCCATGAGAAGAAGCATTTATTCCCCTGACCTCCAAGTTTCCAGGTAGCTCTACACATCAGAGGTGAAGCTGCATAGAGGCCGTCCCTTAAACACAGACACAAAATCAAAGGAATCAAGTGACTCTAGACTGAGTTGGCATGAAGATGAGCTTTTCTCCTTTAATGCCAGCCAAGAAAACTGGTTGCCAAAAGGGAGGTTTGGACAGAGCAGGACAGGGGCTCCACAGGGGTACACCCATGTCCACCAGTGCCAGGGCACTGCACTAGGTACAGCCCCCAGACCTGCTCCTAAGAAGGGAGCCCTGGACTCACAAAGGCTGGACCTACGCAGGGAGGATAGAAGACAACAGGCAACGCCCAGGCCCAAATGAAATGTTACAGAGCAACTCCCCTGTAAGCAGAAGGCACTCGGTGGTCGGGGTGGGGCAGGAGTCTTGAAGTCAGGGCAGATTCAGGTCACAGCTGCTCCAGGGAGGGGGGTCGAGGGGCACTTAGCCCTGTCGCCCTCCCCACAGCAGGGATGGGAGAGGAGCCCAGCTGAGGCTCGGCAGACCCCGGGATGAGGGGCCATTTCCAGGCTGGTGAGTGGGGTGCTGTGTTTGGTGCAGGCTGGGCCCAGGTGTGCCCCTGGGACTGGCCCCCACCCCAACTCTCCCTAGCCTGCCTCCCAGGGCTAGCCTTCATGATGGCGAGTCCCGGATGGGCATGTCCTGGTGACTTTAAGTCCATGCATGTCTGGGGCAGCCACAGGAAGCAGGTTATAAATCCATACCTGTAGTATCCCCAGGTGAGTTTAAAAGTTAGCAAAAGAGCCAGGGCTCAAAGTCACTGTGCTAGAGCGTCAACACCTTCCACGCAGCACTGAGGACACTGAGCAGCTGCCCCACCCAGAGGTTTTCATCGCTGTGTGACGCAATTTCACTGCTGGTCAAAGCACAAGCACTTTCAAAGAAACCCGTGTGTGAGACATTACTGGGAAGGAGAACACAACCGTCCAACATCGGGGATACCGTGTCCACTCAGTGGCACGTCAGGACCCGCTGTGGGGGTGAGGCTACTCACACGGCCCCTCTCCACGGGGCTGGCCTGCTTCCTTGGGCCTCCCTCGGCCTCGCCCACCTCTTGCAGCCTCTTCCTGAAGCGCAGCCCTGGCCTGCTTTTGGGTGGTGGAAGGGGGTCCATGCCCAGGATCTTGTGGATCTGCCTAAAGGCCAACATGCGCAGGGCGTGCTGGGGACAGACAACAGGTCAGGACCCTCCTGCTTGTGCTCGGCTCACCCAGCCCCATGGCACGGTGACGCTCCGGTCCTCCTGTCCCTGACAATACTCTTCTAGCAACCGCCGAGCTCAGTCACCGTCAGGCCTGAAGAACTGCACAGGGAGCTGCTCGGCTGCTAAGGGCGGGACTTCCCCAGGACGCCCCAGGGACGCCAGAGCTTTCCTGCCTCACTGCAGGGACCCCAAATCCTGCATTGCCCAACTTGGCTCTGATCATAAGCAATTTGATTCTTTCCATTAAGATAATTTCTGAATGTTGGGCCCAATGTGATTTTTGTACCCCTGGGAGACTTTCTTATAAACTTAAAAACCAAAGGGAAACCACGGATGGGGCTGTTTTTTTTTGCTTGAGGCTGGCCAGCCACAAACTGGTATATTTACAGAACATGGGGCGGCGGGGGGAGGCGGGGGTAGTGCACCAAGGGCCGTCTGAGCCAGTGAGGCCCCAGGTCTGTGCCTCATCACTGTGGTGGCTTCAACTCTGAGCCAGGCTAGGTGTGCCCCCAGAAACAGTCCTGTGACCCTGGGCCACCCCCCCTCAGGCCCCCTATCGCTGCAGGGACAGGGAAAGGGAACCCCAGAACATTTCCTGGGACGCTGCATTGCTGAAAATGGGCTGGGACCAGGGCACTGCCCACTGCATGGCTGAGCTGGCCCCAAGTCGGGGAGCCGCAGGGGCCGGTGACCCTACCTGGGCGCTGGCTGTGATGTCTTCCCGCTCCTGGAGGGTCATGGGCCCGAGCACGTCCGTCTGGTCTCTTTCACAGGGATCCTGGAGCCCAGGCCCATCTTTGTGAGGCAAGATGGGGGTGGCAAAGAAGACAGAGCACCCTCATGAAAGACTGCCACCACCAGGGCCCTGAGAGGATTCGAGCATGGGGCCCCTCGGTACCCATGGCCACACCTGGGGGGCATGCCGCAGGCTGGCGCAGGCTCTCCCCTGGGGGCATCTCCCCTGGACCACCCCTCCTCTACCCCCACGAGCACACTCAGCAGAGCCCCTTTCTGCTGTTGCGGGTGTGTGCCTGAGCACGTAGCCATGTCACACCCAGGGTGTCTGTCTGTCACGCAGCACAGTACCATCCCAGGTCACTAAACTGCCCAGAAAACACCGTCTCTGTCCCTGCCACCTCCTGAGCACACAGTTCTTTTCTCTTCCCTTCTGCTATTGGGAGCCATGCCGTGGTGACCCTCTCCATACATAGCCCATTTTCTGAGTGTCTGCTGGTTTCCTTGTGAAATGCTCCCACCAAGGCCATCACCCAGTGACAGCCAGGGCCCCCAGACAAGGAGGGTTGCCATCACAGAATGAGTGCCAGGCCTACAGACGGGGGGTGGCTCCCCCCACCTGCTCTATCTGCACTGGACCCTTCCTCTCCTCTGTGGGTGAGTTCCGCTTGCCACTGAGCTGTTCCCGTCCCCCTGGGGGACGTGTGTGCACATCTGGGCCCCTCCTTCCATCCAGGTTGGATGCTGTTCTCGAGTGTTGGTAAGAGGCTCTCTCTGTACCTGAGTCTGCTACATGCCAAGTGTTGTGGGCTCCCTGCCGACATGGACTGACCTGTCAGGAACATCCCAGAGGCCACACACTCCAGCACCCGCCGCACGGCATCCCCTGGGCTCAAGGGCCCCTTGGCGCTGCTCACAGCCCTCTCCACCAGCAGCTCCATGGCCTGGGCCGGGCGGGGGTGGAAAGGGAGATGCTGTGCCATGGAGAAGCACGCCTGAGACAGCTCATCTCCTGCTGGCAGGGCTCTGGGGGGCTTGGCTGGAGGTCTCCAGGGGACCCCAGAATAGGTGGCCCCTCCCAGCTCTTTCTCTAATTCCCACCCACCCTTGAGTTCTACAGAGGGTGGTGGTCAGTGAGGCTTTACCACCTCCTGGTATAGCCACGGGCAGGTTTCTTCAATCTCTAACCCTCAGTTTCCCCATTGGCAAAATCCCATCAATCGTTAACACCAAAAACTAGTGCTTTAAGGGTTAAAAGAAACTTGTTCTCTGTGACCCATGGTGCATTTAGCCTGGGTCACAATGACTCCACAAGGGCCACAATGACTCTGGCTTACCCAGGTATGCCTCCTCCTTCAAGGAGCCACCCAGTCCAGGGGGTTGCAAGGGCAGGGGACCTGTGCTAGTAACTCAGCAGGAGGCTGGCCCCTGTGCTGTCTGTGGTGCGGGGGTGCTAAGAGCAACGGCCCCTGGACGCTGGGCAGGAGGCAGAGGTCCTGGTGGGTCCTGGAACCCTTGGTTTTGGAGATGGCCCTCATGAGTAAGGCCCAGGGTGACCCAGGGGCCTGGCTCTGGGAGCAGGAGGAGACGGCAGGCAGCATCAGGCTGCGCACAGAATGCAAATGGCTCTCAGAGTTCAGGGGCTCTGTCTCTGGCTCCTTCCCGAGAACAACGTGAACAACTAAAACCCCTACAGGTCGTTCCACCCAGCACTGGCCAGGGGGTCGGCGGGTGGGTATGTGGAACGAGAGTGGAACGCTCAGAGGCAGAACTACCGAGGGACAAGGTATAATCCCAGAGAAAGACAGGATGCGGGACCCCAGAGGCAGTGGAGGCTGGGGGTCTCACAACTCCGCAGTCTGGATATTCAGGGACATGGGGAAACCTTGCTCTTTCTCTTCTCTGCTCTTCCCCTCACCCCATGGGCTCTGGGGCCTACAGGTGCTGGAGGGATACGGTGTCAGAGCCGCAGGGGTTCTCCCCTCTAGAGGAGGCAGGGGTGGTCCAGAGGCCAGAGGGGAGCCAGGGTGGGTACTGGGTCCCTAACCTGGCCAGGCCCTCTGCGCCGATGGCACACATTTCCCTGGCATCCTCACGCTGGCATGCTACCTAGTTCTGTTTGCGAGGTCGAAGGTTTAAATACAGACAAGTGAGGCTGTATCCAGAGCAGGCCTCTTCCTAGTGCCAAGAGACCCCCCCCAAGACACCCTGCCATGATCTACTGCTCCTGCGTGCACAGGCCGATGACAGCCCTTTCTGGGAGTGCCAAGTGCTGGAGGGGAAACGCCTGCCCAGGAGGAAATAAGGCCCTTGTGGGCCTCCCAGAGCAGGGATGGCTGTCGGGCGCTGCCTTACCCAGTCTGGCAGAGCTCCCCAGGGGGCCACACGCCGGCAGAGGTCTCGAAAAACCCTGATGACAATTACACAGGGATGTAGGCCACTGGCTCGTGCCTTTGGGGGAAGAAGCACGCAGTTAGCTCTGGAAGATACGTGCACATGGGTGTGTGTGAGGCCAAGGGAACAAGGGCAGACCTTGGGGGCGGTGAGCTGGGCCAGGGGTCCTATCCTCAGTAGAGGTGAGGGAGCACAGCTGGCCGGCCCGGAGGGAGGTGGCCTGGGGCAGGTTCTACTCCCAAATGGGCACGAGCCACACAGCTAGCCAAGGAGGCGGCGAAGGGTGCACCCAACAGGACAGACACGTGTGAACCCCCTCCCAATCCTGCGCCCCCCAACCTGGAACCACTTGGCATGGCGGAGGGCGGCCAGTGACTGGAGACACTTTTCCAGGTCTAAGACATCTTCTAAGACAGCTCCCGGGTCGGGCACTTCCATTCCTTCTAGAAGAAAAGGGCGTGTGGGGAATGCCCTATCCCACTTCACTCCCTCCCTGGCCCCACACGGGCTATGCTGTCACTTCTCCTCTGGGACTCATTTTTTTATCTTTTTTTTATCTGGAAGCCACATGCTTCCTCCCAGATATTCTTTCCTCTGGGGGACCACAGGGACTAGAAAAACCATCTCTGTGAGAATCCCTCCTCCTCTGAAGTTCATGCTCACAAAGTTTTTTTTAAGATTTTATTTATTTATCTTTAGAGGGGAAGGGAAGGAGAGAGGGAGAGAAACATCAATGTATGGTTGCCTCTTCGTGCGTCCCCTGCTGGGAACTGGCCTGCAGGGAACTGGCCTGAAGGGAACCGGCCTGCAACCCAGGCATGTGCCCTGACTGGGAATTGAACCTCAATTGTCTGGTTCACAGGCCCGTGCTCAATCCACTGAGCTACACCAGCCAGGGCTACAAGGAAAGCATTTTTAATGCTTATTACTGAGCACCTTCTGCACCGACTCCCTCGGTTAGCAAACTACAGAGCAGATGGAAACCTAGGAACTAAGCCAGATTTCCAGCAACTTCCAAATGTATAATTAAAAGGGAGGAAGTGGGTCCGATTTGAACACATCCCATCGTTGACGACAAAGGCCTCCGGGTCTGAGAGAAACGCAGAGATGTTTTTCCTTTCTTACTATCATTGCTTCAAGAATATTCTCATCTCATTCAAGGACACCTGACTTACTTAGGTCATACCGTGAGTCTCAGGTTTCACCCAGAAATGTCCCCAGGGATCTCCTGCCTCCCGTGGTGGCAGGGGCGTGTCTTTGAAGAGGGGTTATAAGCCACCCTCCCAGCAACTGCCAGCCCGGGGTGTGGACCCCTGAGTGAGGCTGAGAGGTTCCTGGTGGTCACCGCCACAGGGGAGCTTCTGTGTCTCTCAACCTTTCTGGTCAGCCCGCATCTAGTGGCCACGGATGCTCAACACTGTCTAACACTCCCAACCACCCCTGCCTGTGTGTCTGAGCAAACCCTAGCCAGGCCTTCAGCTAGAATTTAATGGTGCTGTTCTTTGCCCCCATGTCAATTTTTTTAAGCTAACTATTTGTAACAACTGACAATGGCTTTCCATTAATAGTCAAAGGTTCTCCTCTTTAAAAATGTGTGTTAAAATTAACTGATTTAAAGAAAAACACTGATAGTTGGTGGCTCTCAGACAACAATCATGAAGGGAGCTCAAGGATGAATGGAGTCCTGACGCATGTAGCTTAGTTGGTTGGTTATTGGTCTGCAGAGGAAAGGTCCCTGGTTCGATTCCCAGTCACAGTATATGCCTGGGTTGTGGGTTCAGTTCCTGGTTGGGGCATGTAGGAGACATAACCAATGTTTCTCCCTCACATGGATGTTTCTCTCCCTCTCTTTCTACCCCTTCCCCTCTCTCTAAAAATAAATAAAACCTCTATTTAAAAAAAAAGAATGAATTAATGGAATTTGAAAACTCATCCTAGGGGCTCTTCCAGAAGGTTCCACAGGGTGCCTCCCTGTTGGCTGGCCTTCACTGTGTGGTGGTGACTGGAGGCCCTTGCTACTCTCTGGCCTGGCCCAGCACCCCATCCCACTCTCTCAGGCAATGCCAATATGCCTTATGCCCCGACCCCCGCATCCCACACGAGAATGTTGGGACCAGCAGGGTCTGCTGTGACCTCTGCCATGGTCAATGGACAGTGTGAACTTCTGGGCATCCGGCACAGCCAGTTTCCCCCGGGCAGGGCGCAGGTGTCTGCACAGGCCTGGCGGCAAGGGAGGGGCATGGTGCTGTATAGGGGAGGCCCAGGAGCACATGAGCAGCCCAGTTCTGTGGGCCCAGTTCTGAGCCTACCTGACCCTGTTACCAGTTTTCCTCCTCCACGGCCACAGGCCCAGCTCTTATCTGACCAGTGGCATCCAGGGCTAACAGAAGTACCAGAAAGCCGCATGCCCAACCCTCGACACCTGCCCCGAGCAGAGTCAGATGCTTCCCTAAGCCACTTGAGTATGTGTGGAGGGGGGCTGGACCGAAGGGCCCAGCTGCACCTCTGTTCGTAGAGGGGTCCTCCCGCATTAGGGACGAGGTGACAGACACAGTGACCCGTATTCTGGGCTCCTCACAAGATGAAATGATGATGTTGGCTGCCAGGTCAGAGGAGACCTCGTACTTGTCCTCTGTTACCATCTGTGAGATGCAAACACAACACAAGGCCACGTTACTCCAGCTGAGAGACAGGTGCAAACGGCAAGGACGTGTCAAGTTGCAGGCCCTGTGCCAGGTGTCTGGAGCCTCCGTGGAACTGAGACATAGGCCCGCCTTCCAGAAGTACACACATACAGAAATGCCTATATTCAGGCCTGGCTGAGTAGCTCATTTGGTTAGAGCATCACCCCAATACACCAAGGTTGTGGGCTCAATTCCCGGTTGGGACACATGCAAGAATCAACCAAGGAATGCATAGAGAAGTGGAACAACAAATCAATGTTTCTCCCTCTTTCTCTCCCTTCTTCTCTCTAAAGTCAAAAAATAAAAATTCAGCCCTGGCTGGTATAGCTCAGTGGATTGAGCACAGGTTGTGCACCAAAGGGTCAACAGTTTGGTTCCCAGTCAGAGCACATGCTTGGACTGTGGGCCAGGTCCCCAGTAGGGGGCGTGTGAGAGGCAACCACACATTGAAGTTTCTCTCCCTCTCTTTCTCCTTCCCTTCCCCTCTAAAACTTAATAATTCTTTTAAAAAATGCAAAAAACAGAACATCAGTGTGGGGACTTCTGCCAAGATGGAGGTGTGGGTGGAAGCACTGTGCCTTCTCACACAACCAAGTTTAAAAACAACAAAGTTTTAGCAACAAAAACACAGTCAAACCACAGAAAATTGAACTACACGGAAGTCTGACAACAACGAACCCTTCAGCCAAACCGGTAAGAGGGGCAGAGCCAGCAGCAGAGTGGGGTCGGGCAGGAAAGATCCACCAGACCAACCCGGGTGCACAACCCAGGCGCGCCAGCAGCCGTGGGCGGATCCCAGGTGTGGAGTAGCGGCCAGACCCACTGAGGGCACAAGGTGGTGGACTCACTGAGGGCTGACCGCAGTCACACATTCGAGTGCAGATAAACCGGTGAAGGAGCGAAGTGGTGAGACAGACCGTGCAGGCCCCAGTGGCGGAAAGTGGCAGAGAGGACTGCCATTGTCCCTCTCTGACCCCGCCCCCACATAAGTGTCACAAACCAGAGACCTGGGTGGCCCTGCCCTGGTGAACACCTCCTCGTACGTAACAGGCACAAACAGATCAAAACATGGCTCAAGAACAACTTAGAGCCCCAGAGCCCATAAATCTAAGCGACCAAGAAACAGCCAAACTTTCAGATGCACAGTTCAAAACACTGGTGATCAGGATGCTCACAGAACTGGTTGATTTTAGTCACAAATTAGAGGAACATATGAAGGCTAAACTAATTGAAATGAATGGAAATGCACAGGAAACCAACAGTAATGGAAAGGAAACTGGGACTCAAATCAAAGGAGTGGACCAGAAAGAGGAAAAAAAATGACCAAACAGAAAACAATAAAGAAACAAGAATTCAAAAAAATGAGGAGAGGCTTAGGAACCTCCAGGACATCTTTAAACGTTCCAACATCCGAATTATAGGGGTACCAGAAGGGGAAGAGGAACAGCCACCAGTGGAAAACTTATTTGAACAAATAATAAAAGAGAATTTCCCCAATCTGGCAACGGCAATAGACTTCCAGGAAATCCAGGAAGCTCAGAGAGTCCCAAAGAAGTTGGACCCAAGAAGAAACACACCAAGGCACATCATAATTACATTAGCCAAGATGAAAATCAAGGAGAGAATCCTAGAAGCAGCAAGAGATAAGGGGACTGTCACCTACAAAGGAGCTCCCACCAGACTGTCAGAGGATTTCTCAAAAGAGACCTTACAGGCAAGAAGGGGCTGCAAAGAAGTATTCCAAGTCATGAAAACCAAAGACCTACATCCAAGATTGCTCTATCCAGCAAAGCTTTCATTTAGAATGGAAGGGCACATAAAGTGCTTCTCAGATAAGATCAAATTCAAGGAGTTCATCATCACCAAGCCCTTATTATATGAAATGTTAAAGGAACTTACCTAAGAAAAAGAAGATAAAAAAGATGAACAGTGAAAGGACAGAAACTCAGTTATTAAGAACCACACCTAAAACAAAAACAAAGAGGACAGCTAGATCAAGAGTGAACCATAGAAATGGAGGTCACATGGAGGGTTAGCAACAGGGGAGTGGGAGGAGAAGGGGGAGAAGGTACAGAGAATAAGTAGCATAGACAGTAGGTAGAAAATAGATAGGGGGAGGGCAAGAATAGTAGGGGAAATATAGAATCTAAAGAACTTGAGACACGTGGTCATAAACTAAAGGGGGGATGGTGGGGGAGGGGTGTGCAGGGTGGAGGGGAATGAAGGGGGAAATAGAACAACTGTGATGGCATAATCAATAAAATATATTTAAAAAAATAAAATAAAAAATGTAAAAAACAAATACATATAGGTGACAATCCTAGCATATAACGTGCCTTCATATGTAATGAATGCCCTTAACAAAGACAGTAATAATAATAATAATAATAATAATAATAATAATAATAAACAGCCATTAACAGAAGAGATAGTTGGAAGGAAACAAAAGTGTCCCTTTTTCACAATGACACAGATGACCCCGCAGTAAGAGAGAAGCAAATTAAAACTCTACTGAAGTACCATCATCACCCGTGGGAAGGACACAACTCGAAGCCTGAGGCGCAGCTGGGCTGGCAAATCCACGCACCTTAGAAACCGCTGGTGGACGCTGACCTGGCAGCACTTACCTGGAGCCCCAGTCATGCCTCCGACCTGGTGACTCTGCCCCAGGACGAGCTCCCACACGTGTGGAGTGGCGTGTGCGCAAGGTTACTTGTTCTGTGCAGCCTTAGTGGTGATGCAGAGCACTGGAAACAACCCGAATGTCCTCAAAGGGACACACACCTCCCTCTGTCCCGCTGGACCTGACTCACTCCTCCCTGGTGCTCTCGCCTGGCATCAAGCTTTAACTTCCTCACAGGAGATAAACCAGCGCTAGCTCGCTCTGCTTTCGTTTGCTCCTGACCAGGGCGGGAGCCCGAGGGTGGCCCGGGTCTGTGCCCTGAGCTCACTAAGCCGGTAGGAGGAATGATGCAGAATTTTCACGGGGACAGGGCCAGAGACATCAGGAAGAAACCACCCTGGGGACCGACTGCTTTAACCAAGATGATCAGCTTAAATCGCGACATGGTCTCACTGTTCCCCAGCTGTCACGAGAACAGTGCCATGACAACAGAACTGCTCTCTAAGAAAACCCAGCCCACAATCCATCCTGCCTCATGACTTGCGAGGCTCCCCCCTCTCCGCACTGCCTCTCCCATGCCGTTCAAGGCGTAGCCTTTTAAATGGCTGGTTCGCATTCTCCGGGTGGAACATTTTCATTTTCCCAGTGTTGCCCTGAACTCACTTCATGCAGGAACCCTGAAGTTCCCACTTCTTTTTCCCTGCAACTGTTTACAAAAACAAACAAACAAACGACTGGTTTGTATCTAATAATGACAACCTCTCTTGTTTCTTAAAATACTGTGGAAGCAAAGTCATCCCCGTTGGGGAGACTGAGGGACCCCTGAGGGAGGGAGGGCGGCAGTCCCACCGCTCCCCACTTCCAGGAGGTAGCCGCCCTTACCAGGAGTTGCTGGGGCAGCTGCTCAGTGACCCTCTGCAGCAGGGCGTGGGTGGGCTTCTGGGAGCAGAGCAGGGTCAGCTGCACATCCCTGTCTCCCCGAAGGAGGAGGCCTTTCCCCAGGAGGCCGACCCGCACCACGCCTTTCAGGACCCGGGCAGAGGGGCTGGCACTGCTGTGGAGACAAATCCGAAAACACATGTGTGAGAAGAGGGGTCAGGGAAAAAGGGAGCCTGCGGCTCTGCCTTGGGTCTGGGCTGTCAGCAGCTTGCTGGGCCCTCTGTGCCTCAGCTTCCTCATCTGTGAAAAGGCCCTTTCTGAGCCCCATTTCTCATAATGCACTTGAAGAAAGTAGACATGAGAAGATATATTTGAGAAAAGCACTGGGAACCACAATGGGTATATTATACGTGGTTACTAAGGGCTGGTGGTTATTACTACTTCCTGCTAACCTGCATTCTGAAAAAGGCCAAAGATGGCAACCCCCTGGCCCCTGGTCCACAGCCAGATGGTGCCACGCTGGTCAGCCCGTGGGTTTGGGCGCCCTCCAGGCTGTCCCTGGGGTTGTTTCACCCCAACCTGAACATGCTGCAAGCAGGCCCATTGGAGGGCTCGGGCCACGGCACCCTGAGGGAGACCCCTGCTGCAGTCTTGCCTCTGCAGGTCAGGGACACCCAAGTTCACTCCCTGGCCCGAGGCGCCCAGCCCAACCCACTGGGCCTCCTTGCCACCATCCTCTTCCACCACTGCCTCTTGGGCCTTATGCTCTAGCCCAGCGATTTTCAACCTTTTTCATCTCATGGCACATATGAACTAATGATTAAAATTCTATGACACAACAAAAAATTTTTTTGGCCAATCTGACAAAAAATAGGTATAATTTTGATCTACCCTTTTTGCTTCAAAGTGACTTAAAAAAAAAAATCAGGTGCCCATACTTGTATATAAGGATTTCTGGTACCAAAATTTACCAATCAGATACAACCTTATTATGTGACGTGACCAATTAGATGCAACTCTGTCATATTGACCTACACACGAGTATTTATGGTTCAAGACAGCATCCCTGCCGGTGGCTATCGCTGTGTTGACTGCTGTCCTTTCTTTATTTGACACTCTGAGGGAAAAGTCAGTGTCCCTGACTAAACAGTCAGGTTCTGCACGTTTGAAAAATTCTTGCAGCACACCGGTTGAAAATCGCCACTTTGGCCCCAAGCCCCTTCCTATTTCCTCCAGCCCCACAAGGCTCAGCCCTCTGCCCCAGTTCCCAGGACTGGTGCGTGGGTGCTCTCACACGAGGGACCTCTACACAGATGTCCCAGCCCCTGCTCCAGAAGCTGCCCCCCTTTCCTGCTACTCTCTAATAACCACTTTGTTTTCTTTGGGACTTTTTTTTTAACATTAAAAACATTTCATTATATAATAATACATTATCACTGGCATATCCCAGAGAGGTTTGTACATCTTAAGTTGTATTTGTAATGATGAATGTCACTGACAACTAAGAGGACAAATATATTGTTATTATTTCTTTTAATGGGGGAAACGATCACTTTTTTTCCCCTGAAGGGAAAGGAGGAAGAGAGGGACAGAATACTTGTGACATTTCTAAGGATAGGAGATAACCTTTCTTTAAACATTTTTTTATTGATTGATTTTAGAGAGAGAGAGGAAGGGGGAAGAGAGAATCATCAATTTGCTGTTCCCCTTATTTATACATTCATTGGTTGCTTCCTGTATGTGTCCTGACCAGGGATTGAACTCACAGCCCTGATGCATTAGGACAATGCTCCAACTAACTGAGCTGGCTGGCCAGGGCAGGAGATAACCTTTTTATAAAAACCATGTTGACATATTCTTATCCATTTGAGGACCACAGAGCTCTAAAGCCCAAGGCCTGAGGGGACCTGACTCTGGAGGCCACCAGCAAAATCCAGAGCAGGGACGTCTGGATTAGGGGGCAAGGACCAGAGTCTGCAAGTGAGACTCATGAAGGCAGAGAAAGCAGAAAACAGAGGGTGGGGGAACCTGCAGATGTACAGACTCAGAAGTCTGCCAACCAGTCTGAAAAACAGCCTGGAAAACAGGAACACCGACCCCGGGACACCAAGGAAGCACGCCGTGGCGTCTGCGGGGCGGCTGGGAACTCCATCACTGACTGGACATTTGATGGTGTTAAAGAATTCCTGTTAATTTTTTGAGAGAGAGGGGAAGGGAGGGAGGAAGAGAGGGAGAGAAACCCATGTGCGAGAGAGACATCAGTCGGTTGCCTCTCCCACATCCCCAACCGGGGACCTGGCCTGCAACCCAGGCACATGCCCTGACTGGGAACCGAAATGGAAATCTGTCGGTTCACAGGCCGGTGGCTCAATCCACTGAGCCACCCCAGCCAGCGCTGTTAATTTTTTTATGATAATGGCACTATGGTCTGTTAAACAAAAATATCCTTAATATTTAGAGATAGGTACCCACTAAACACTCAGTAAAGAAACACTGGGATATCTGATAGGATCTCCTTTTAACCTGTATGGAGTGGGCAGGGAGGGAGGGCCAAGAAATCAAGTGCAGTCGTGGGAGCTGGTCAGGGTGTAGTAATGCTCACATGGTATTCATCGTAATAGTACTGTTCCACCCACGTTTGTGTATGCTAGAGGATTTCCATAATCACGGTTTAAAAACCCAAACACTAAAATGCTCTTTCCAATGGTTCCATAAATAATGGAACACCCACAGGATGGTTTATTGAGTTGCAATTAAAAAAATACACTTCCATGTTTTTGAAAAATAATGTAAAAGTGTGTCGACTTCCTGCCTTGACACATGCAAAGGCTGCTTCCACGTCTACACTGCGGGGAGCTGGGGGCGGTTCTGTGGACCCTCTCTGTGCTCTTTTGTGATGAGTCCATAATTATTTCAAAATGAAAAGTTAAGCCCTGGCTGGTGTAGCTCAGTGGATTGAGCGTGGGCCTGTGAACCAGATGATAGTGGTTCAATTCCCAGTTGGGGCACATGCCTGGGTTGTAGGCCAGTTCCCAGCAGGGGACTCACAAGAGACAACCATACATTGATGTTTCCCTCCTTCTCTCCCTCTCTTCCCCTCTAAAGATAAATAAATAAAATCTTTAAAAAAAAGCAAAGTTAAAAAACAAATTAAAAAGAAAAACAAGTGTACAGGGAAAATACTGGAAGGAACTTCAAAGCATTAAGCGAGGGGAAGGTTTTGTTCAGAAAACCTGAATGCACACTTCGAGGATGCGGCACCCCTTCCTGTCTGCAGTACGAGACCCCTCAGGTAGCTTCCACGCCATCGGCTCCTCTGCACGAGGCTCAGAGGCTCAGAGGCTGCAGCGAGTAGGGCTGCAGGCAGTGTCACACCTCATGGCCAGACCATCTTTCCCACTTGTGAGCAAGCACAAAGTCCCAGGTAAACCTCAGAATTGGGATGGCTCCACCTTTCAAAGACTTCTCTCATCAGACTTTGCAGTCCTGTGGTTTAGATTCATGAGGGCGCGAGAGGAGAGCTGAGAAAAATGTCTTTTTGGCACCCTTGTTTTCCCTTCCAGGTGGGTGAAGAAGGCTTACTTTCCCAAGTAGATGCAACCTATTGGGAAGTTGGCATGCTTAAGCTGAGGGGCTAGTTCATTTAATCGTATCATTTTATCATGACACTTTGTAACTCACAGTGGTATATGTTCTTTTCTTGGGACCAAACACTACACTGAAAAGAAACTAAAGTGGCATCAGCCAGACACAAAAGGACAAATACTGCATAATTCCACTTACATGAAATGGCCAGAACAGGCCAAGCCATAGAGAGAGGAAGTGCAGTGACGATGCCTGAGGCTGGGGCAGGGGGCGGGGCATTTACAGGGATAAATTTCTGTTGAGATGATGTACAAGTTCTGGAAATAGATAAGCGGTGGGTGAGGGCTGCACACCTTGTGAGTGTACTTAATACCACTGTACTGTACACATTGGAATGGTTAAGATTGTCAACTTCGTGCTGCGAGTATTTTGCCACAATAAAAATTAAAAAAGGAAATAAAAAAGAAGCCACCCAGAGAGAAAGGACTTGGAAGAGCTAACTACCTCTGGAATTATTCTAGTTGGGTAGTGACTCCTCACAGGGCCCAGGGACTTTTCTGTCTCCCTGTAGCACGGGGCCTTGAGCCACGACTCAGGCCGACACCACATGGCAGCTTCCACTCTGTGAGGTGGAGGGATCAGGGTAGAATCACACTGTCTCCGTTTTGCAGATGAGCAAACAGAGGTGGTTCACGTTTCATGAACCACGTTTCTTGATGCGCCTTTTCTGAGAAAATAAATTCTGGTATTGCAACAGCAGCTCTCACCAGCTGGGACTAAAACTCCCTTTGAACCTCGGGGCTCCAGCCCTGACACTAGAGACTCAGTGAGTATGCCGCCCGCAGCCTGGAAAGCCCCTGCTACTGCAGGGGCTCAAAGTCAATGAGAGGAGGAGCCGCCTCCACCCCTCCGGGCAGCCACATCCTGTGAGAACACCTGCCTCTTCCAAGCCATCCTCTGGGCCTGGGGAAATAACAGTGACCTCCATTACCTGTGCTCCCCACCCTCCTGCTCTGGGCTTCTGGACTTGCCCTCCTCCAGTGTGTCAGACACCAGCTTGAGGGCGCGCTCCGAGTGGGACACAGCCCTCTGGACAGCCAGGAGCTCCTCCTCTGTGGGGTAGATGGTGGCGTGCTTACACAAGACGTGGCGGTCGTCACTGGATTCTGGCCGCTGTGTGGGCTGCAAGGAAAGGTGCACACATTACAGTGGGCTAAGAGGCCCTGGGGACCCAGTGGCAGGGGACAGGAGCAGTGTCAGCTCTGCAGAGCTGCAGCACAGGCGCAGGAGGACATGAGGAGTGGAGCCAGGCTGAGGAATGACGCGTACCCACAGGTGGTGACCCAATGAGGACCCCAGGACCTCCTGAGGGCTATAGGAAGCTCAGGGCCAAGGGGGCTGGGGGGCTGCCCTGTAGCGACACCCTTACGTTTCCAAGCCAGAGGCTTTTCTGCCAACTCAGTGGGCCTGCTCCCCAGCAAGGTACAGGTCAAAGGTTCCCATCCAACCATGGCCTGTGCTGACAGACAGACACCTGAGGACCCATGAGAGATGTGACAACTGGGGTGTCAGGAAACTAAAAGGACTGCTGTGGTGGGTGGAGGGGTCAGGGCCTGGAGCTCCCATTGGAGACCAGCAATGAGAGGTGGGCACCCATTAGGGTTCTTGATACAAAGTCTTACTCCTCATTCCTGGAAGATTCAGGTCTTTCAAGTACAATGTGAGAAAATCACCCACCCCATGGTGCCAGTGACACGGGAGGCATTTCGGCACAAGACCACCACCTACCGGAGGGGTGGCAGCAGGCACCCCTGGCCTGCTCCCGAGGGGAGGAGAGTGCTGGTCCGATGGGGAGTGTCCCGGGTGCTCATCCTGGGCCTGTGGCTTCTCCTCCAGCTGCCTCCTGCACAGATCATAGCGCCTGTGGGAAGCAAGAAAATAAGGAGCTGTCAGCAGCTGCAGGACCCTGGGCTTATCACATCAAAGCCAGCAGCTTGTAACAGCCATATGGCTCCTGCTGCCTGGTCCTTGGGCTGAGCCAGGCTGAGGCTCTGGGACCAGTGCAGAGATGCAGCAGCTGAGTGGGACCCCGTAAGAGCTAATGAAGAGCTTCTGTGCAAACACTTGCCATATGCCAGGGAGACCAAGGTTCCAAGGCCAGGAGGACACAGGCCAAGAGAAACTGCTAGGGAGGGAGAAGCCAGCTTAAGTGGCCACAGCCTCTAAATCTGTCCCAGGCCTCACTCCCAGCTCAGAGGCTGCTTTGGATCTTCTGTGAATTGGACACCGTGTCATGAAGTGCTTGGAAACATCTCTAGGGGGTGAAGGAGGATGATGACAAACCATCCTTGCAGTCAGGAGACACCAAGGATTGGGGCCCAGGGCCACAGGAGGGGAGAGGACACCAGGGGTTGGGTAACATGGGGACAACAGGGTGTCCCTGTGAATCAGGCCTGAGAGCGCCAGCCCCCTGGTTGTCAGGACCATGCCATCCCTCGCTTATTACATGCAGATCCAGAGAGTGACATATGCACAGGGGCTGGGCTGGCTAGCTCTAAAATGCTCCATGTCCCCACAAGTGCCACGTCCCCTGCCAACTATGCAGCTCATGAGCATCTGGGTTCCAAGGCCTAGAAGACAGAGCTGATGCCCCCACAGCTCAAGCGATACGCAAGTGAGCAAGCAGACACTTGGTTCTCAGAGCTGCCCTGGGGGCAGGAGGTAGTCAGGAGGCTGAGAGGAAGGGACCCCGCGCCTCGTCTCTGCGTGCCAGCGCCGTAGCGCCTCCAGCCGCTTCCTGGTCAGCTGCTTCTGCTTCCTCTTCCTCTCTTCCAGGAGCTTCCAGACTCTGTTGCTGAGCTTGATGGAGATCGGGAGGTCAGGATCGACTTTTCTCTGGAGAAGAAAGGAGGGGCTGTAAGACCAGAGATCATCTCTGGGGCATCTCAGGAACAGGGATAGGCCTCCTCTGCTGTATTTAGACAGCAGTGAGTTTCAGTCTCCCAGAGTCTTAACACTCCTTGTCCCCAAAAGCACTGGCAGGAAATAAAACTGGCTGAAGGGACGAAACATGGACTGACATCAGAGTAACAAACGGGACAGCAAAAGTAGAACCTGTCTGAATATCCGACAGAGGAGCCAAAGGTGTGACGACGGCACTGGCAGATGACTGTTGGCCATCACAGAACAGTCACCAAAAAAAGGTCCAATGACAAATACTCATTCTCAATCAAAATAATTCAGGGGAAACACCATTTGTGTGAAATCCAGCAATATATATTTCAAATAGCATGGCTAATTCATTTGCTAAACTTGGTTTTTAGCACTTAATGCCTTCATTCAGAGTGTAGTGGAGCTTGGAGTAGTGAACACACAATTCTATATACAGATGCTGAAACTGTACCTGAAACCTATATAATTTTGTTAACCTATGTCACCCCAAAAATTCAATTAAAAAAAGAAAGTGTAGTGTTGTCTAAGGATTTTTCATTGGCAGAAACAACCCAGATGTCCATCAACAGGGGAATGGATACACAAGATATGTCCACCCACACACCGGAATATTACTCAGCCATAAAAAGGAAGGAAGCTTTGACACTTGCTATGACATGGATGAACCTTGTAAACATGATGCTCAGTGAAAGAAGCCACATCCAAAAGGCCATACTGTATGCAATTCATTTATGTGAGTTATCTAGAACAGACAAGACACAGAAACAAAGTACATTCGTGGTTTTTAAAAAGAGATTGAGGGATTGGAATGAGAACTGACTGCTAATGAGGTTGAGCTCTTTTTTGGGGTGATGTGGATGTTCTGGAATTAGGGAGAGGTAGAGGTTGCACAACTGTGTGAATACAGTAAGAGCCATTCACTGCACAGTTTGTGTGGGCTGACTGTGAGATGTGTGAATGACATCTCAATGAAACCGCTAAAAAGAGAGGAAATATCTGAAAGCCACTGCTTACCGCCCAGAGGAGAGTTACGTGTGGGCTCTGCACAACCATACTGGAGGCCCAGAGTCAGGCGTGTTTAAACACATACATGTGCACAGGTGCCCTCGGGTTGAGCCCAGGGTGTTGAAGGGCCAAGGGAGCTCCCTGGCCACACAAAACCTCCCCTTGGGTGGGAGAAGAAGCCCCCACTGGTGCTGGAAGGCTCTTGGCATTGGAGGCCCCGGGGTCCCTGGGGATGGCTCAGCCTGGACAGCCCAACACCCCCTGCAGCAGCAGTTCCTCAAGTCACGACCTCTCGGCACCAGGCCCCGGCCTCGCTCCAGCTCACAGACTCAGTCCTATGCTGGTGCCCACATGCCTCCCCATGGGGACACGGTTCAGACAGAGCATGGTATCTAATTCACAGTGTCCATCTCAACTAGTACACGCTAGCCTGGGACATAAGCAGAGGCTCCAGAAAAGAAAAATATGTGTCAGATGTGAACAAAATAATACCGAGTGCCTGGAGAAAGAGGCAATATCTGTGAGTCTTATTTTTGTGCGCACATCTACAACCTGACCATGTGCCTGAGCACCTCCTCTGGCAACAGGTGAGTGCAGTTGTACAACTAAACATCCATCTGCAACAGACGAAATCGAATGGCAAATGCAAGCCCATGGTTTCTGCTCTGGCCCTCCAGGCAGTGGCAAATGCAAGTCTGGATGCGGCTTGAGAGGCTCAGGGGGAGTGAAGCTCCTGTCAAAGCTGTCTCCCAGAGGGGGGAAAATGTGTTTTGAGACATGGAGCAAGATGTAGAAATCATAGAAGTTCTTACACACACACACACACACACCCGAACCCTGAACTAACGGGGATCCTATGAGGCACACCTTGTACTGCAGCTGATGCCGCCGCCCTCTGACATGCATGTCCCTGGCGTTGGGGTCATTGAAGCTGCACTCACAGAGCTTGCAGTGGAACTGGATCACTTTGCCTTCACCGTCGCATACCTGAGACACAAAGCTCAGCTGAGTGCTGTCCCCTGAGGAAGGCTGCCTCCCTCCACCCTGCAAGGGCACTGGGCCTTCCTGCATGGCCTGAAGGAGTGACAGCAAAGCCTCTGAGGCCAGTGCGCTAACTTCCTGTTAGCTAAGCTCTTCCGAAGGGCGGCTTTCAGGAGTCTCCCACGCTGAGCTCACCTCTGCCACCATCCAGAGCCTCTCTATTCCCAGCTCAGCCACTGCCAGCCCATGCCCTGCCCTGTGGTGGTCCCGCCTCCCCTTCTCGATTTTTGCCCACCATGTGCCCTTCTTTTTTTTTGCTGTAGCTTCTACGGATCTTATTGCCTTAATTCTTAAATGATCAGGTCTGAAGCACAGGAGTTCTACCTGGTGGAGTATTTTGCACAGGACAAAACAAGATGCTGAACTGGTTGAAAATACAAAAATGAAAAGAAATGCTCACACTTCCATTTAGCCACACACAGTCTTTAAACAAACTCCGGAAGGCTGGAAATTAAGGGAGCAGCCAGAAGCAAATCCAGAACTTGAGTTCTAACAGGCTGTTTAAGAGAAACCCGCAGGGCCTCCGCTCAGGCTCTGGGTGATGGCGCTGAGGTATGCACGCTGGCTCCTAATGCCCCTGGAATCACGTGCCCTGGGGTGATGCTCAGCAAGAAATGCCTCTTGCCTTCTTCAGGCCTTCCTTCTAAGATTTGGAAAACTCACTGAGGTCTGCCTGGGATGGGTGTGGACATGTGAAATGGAGAACTGGACTGAGGACACAAAACTTGACCCTGGCAAGGTCCTTCCCCACCAGAACCTGGAGATGAAGCAGGGCACAGGGCACCGAGAGATCGAGGGCGTGGTGGCTGCTGGTGGAGTTACCTCTTCCACGTAGCCTGGGCCCACTGGCTGCGAGTCACAGCAGCTCCCAGAAGCTTCCACAGAGTCTCCTTGGGTGGGTGGTTGTCCTGACCTCTTTGACTTCAGGTGTGCCAATTTGCCCTCTGCGGGTCTGCAGCCTGCTGTCTTCAGCTCAGGAGGCCCTGGAAGAACTGCAGCACTTACACAACCTACTCCACCCAGAAACCGTGGCTGGCTCTCCCTCAGCCCCTTTCACCTCTGCGTGACGTCAGCCAGTTGGGTACAGAGTCCCGCAAGACCACTGTCAGTCAGCTTGGGGCATGGCTGAGAGAACACGGCCCACACAGAGCTCAGTGCCAGTCTGCATGCATCCACAGAGGGCCCAGCCATAGGCCCCCAACTGAGGAAACCCCAGCGCAGACTCTGCTGCCCTTCCTTAATCGACAGGGAGCCATCAGGTGGACCAAGGCCCACAGGCAGGCCAGCCCCATTGGACAAATCCATGGTGGAAGGGGGCTGTTTCTTTGTTGTCAAAACTGCTTTATGATTTTATCTTCACTATCATGTGATTATTCAAAACATAGTACTGCTGATGCTAAAAATAAAATAAAATAAGCCCCCTCCCACAAAAAGCAGGCGAGGGAAGGGCAGAGATGATCAGAGACCTGGCTTTGAATCCTGCCTCCACCACGTATAGAGTGGCCTAGGTCAGGTACTTCCCCACCCCTCACCTCAGTCCTCCCATCTGCAAGCTGGGACCAATGATAAAACCTACTGTAAAGACTCACGCCAGGCAATGGGTGTACAGTAGGTGTGGGTGTGTGCCTGACATCCAGCCCCGGTTGTGACCCATTCAGCATGCATCACGTGGCAACCATTATTTCCCTCAGGTACCGGCTGGTGTGTCCCGCCCCCGACCCCGAGGGAAGCAGGAACAGATGTGGGTCTGCAAGGAGCCCACCATGACCTCCCAGGACCCACACAACTGTGAGAGCCCGCACGAGCACTGGGGTGCACAGGAGCCTGCTCCCAGAGTGTGGGAGGACGCAGCCCAGGGAACTCTCTAGGCCTAAGGTGGCGATTCAGGGAACCCAGGCATCTCAATCTGTCCCACCCTCCATGGGAAGAAATGGTGCTGTCGTCCCATTGGTTCTACCAAGGTTTTAGGGCAATGGTCTCCTGTCAAAAGTTCAGAAGGTGTGGACCAGAGGTAGTGGGGCACCTGCTGCCTGGCAGGAATATGGGAAAGAAGGCATGCCCCCTTCACACCCCCAGCCCCAGGCACAGCTTAGTCCCTCCTGAGAAGCTACACACACACACACACACACACACACACACACAGACGTTAACTGGCCAAATGCTTCTCTGAACCTGGAGTCTGTTGAGTTGGGGCATGGTGAAAGGGCTGTGAACTGCAGTAACACATACCTGTGCATGTGGCTTTGGAGACCACCAGCCTCTTGGGCAGCTCAAGTCTGCCAGGGGTGTGCATGCTGGAGCCAGCGGGTTCCATGGGCTTGGCTGAGGTCACAGGGGGACTCTCAGTGTAGAGGGGGGCCGGCTTGCTGGTGCAGGTGGTCGGAGCTGAGCTGGAGTTCCCTGGCACGGGTTCTATGGTGGGGATGGGCTTCCCCAATTTGGTATGCAGCTTGAAGACCTGGAACAGCCCCAGGGACCCCCATCAGGATCAACTGCAGGCCTGACTGACGTTCTTCATAAGGAAGGGAGAGCACCTCGGTGAGTGTGGGAGGGCTGGCAACCCATGGAAGTGAGAGTCAGTGGTCCTGTCCCAGGTCCTGGGGACCCTGCCCACTTCCTAGCAACCAAGCTCTCTCAAGAACCACTGCCTCTGGAAGGCCTGCCTACATTGCCTCTGGCTTCTAGGTCCTCACTAGGCATGCACACATGGGCCCTACATAATATAACAGTACCCTGTGCTTTTGTACCTCCGCAACAGGAGTTGCGGCTGTTCGACTGCATACCTCCGAAGTCCACTGCCTTGCACTAAGAGACAGAGATGTTCTCTGCATCCTAAGCACCAGCTCGGTGCCCACCCAATGGGGACACAGAATGTGTGTATGAGTTCATGGATACAGGCCACCTGCTAAGACGTACGTGTGTATTTGTCCACAGACACATGTCTATGTTCTGTAGGGCCACATGTACACCTAGAGTCCAGTAATACCCCATCCGTGATATCCTTCACATTAAAACGATTTTAATTTTGTTTTTAAAAAGCATGACCCCACATGGAATATATTGCCTGATCTCATCAATGTTCAAACTCTTAACAGGTAAACATCTAAACATGCCTAATGCCAAGAACAGCTCGTCAGGGGCCTGGGTACAACCCTACACAGCTTCATGCTTTTGTCCAGAGGCAGGCGAGACTTTTATAACTGGGACGAGGTGTTGGCTTCTAAGGACACACAGGCCCTAGAGGGAAAGCCCCTCTCATCGGTGCCCCCTCTGATACACTGGATGTCCCTCTGGGGCCTGAGTGTGGAAAGCCGGGCGATTCCCAGAACTGCCCGACCTAAGCCCATGTGGGCATCCTACCTTCTGGTGCTTGGCCCCCCGGATGTGGGCGGCATAGGCCTCTGCCCCAGTGCAGGACACGTCACAGAGGCCGCAGTGCAGCTGCGCCCGCACCCCACAAGGGCTGCTGTTAGGCTGGATGCCCATCTTCTCCGCTGCCTCCTTCTTTTTGTGCTTTTGCCCCTCCAGGTGCTCGCGGTAGGTCTGCTGGCAGAGAGTGAGGGCGGCCTGAGGGGGGCGTGTGCTCACTGACACCGCATCGTCCCCGCAGCTCACCAGCAGGGTGTGCATGAACCTGAGCGGAAAACAGGCCCACCGGCCCCAGCCCTCCACTCTCAGGCACCTCTTTATTTAAGCCCGGTCAACAGACTGAGATGCTTGACTTGAAAAACATCAAGTTTCTTTTACTTCTCTTTTTTTCTAAAAGTCGTTTCTTAAACCAACATCCTCAAAGGATCACACATTTGGTTTTGAGGGTTACTATGAAAGAAAATTCTGACTTTTCAGAATCTGACCTCAGAAACCAAGCAAGGACACATGCTACACTTCTTGTTAGAAAACTGCTAATACCGAGGGGCTCCACGAGAGAAAGGCTGCAAGGGTCACAGACCTGCCCATTACGTGCCACTGGGCCTAAAATATCTGACTGCATCTGGCAAATGACCAAGCTCTTAGGTGGCATCCCAGACTCCTCTCCTGGAACCTGGAGACGAGGTAGTCAACAGCAAACACACAAGAAGTGGGCCCACTGAACAGTGCTCTCTGCTCATGCCGAGAGTCAATATTCATGGACCAAAAATACCTCTGGAAAATACACAAGGCGGCACAGCCTGGGCCTGGGGACAGATGGGAGGCAGGGGCAGCAGTCAGAGGGGTGCTTGCTGGAAGGTAGGAATCTTGTGAACATTGTGCCTAAGCGACAGAGCACATTGCCCCCCCGACCCCCCACCCCAATGTACAAACGGGTCTGAGTAAAAGGTATATCTGAATAAGAGCGGACCACGTCAATCCAACACCCTGGCTTTAATTCGCAAACTGTTACCTCTTCGGGAAGTTGGGGGAAGGGCACAGGGGACCAACCTGCATTATTTGTTTCTACTACATATGAATCTATAACCATCTCAATAAAAATTCTAATTAAAAATGCTATTAAGTATTAGCAAAACTGGGAATAACAAGAATTGACCTTTCCAAGCCACATGGAGGACATGTCACATGTTTTGCTGAGTGTGGTGCTCAGGCAAATTCTGTCCCACAGGGAAACTGAGGCTCAGAGAGGCTGTGACACCTGCTGGGGGGACAGTGTGGCATGGCTGGGCTATGAGCCCAGGAGGTCAGCTCTGGAGCCCACACTCCTTCCACTGAGACAGCATGCACATGTGCTCACCCGGGCCCCTTGTCAACCCCCCCGCCCCCCCGGGGCCCTGCCAAAGCAGCCCTGCAGCAGAGGCATGCCACAACTAGCCGTGTCTGCCTGGGCCCTTGCTGCGCAAGGAGGGAGCGCTGACTGCCTCCCCTACCCCAAACCAAGAGAAGCCCCACCTGCCTTGGAGTTCAAGACCACCCTTTGGTGGCCAACAGTCAGTGCTCTGCTGCTCTTATTTCTTCCACTCAACCACCAATAGGGCAATCAACAGGGTAATTCTGACCCACACTTGACATTGCAAGTTTAGTAACATGTTGAGCAGGCTTCTTTTGGGCAGGCTGTGATCCTGGCCTCTAGTAGGCCACAGGGCACAAGGGAGGGGCAGGAAGGTGGCGGAGCCTGCCAGGCATCGTGTGTGGGGTGCTGACCTGGGCACCAGCACAGCTGATCTTGCAGAGGTCGCAGTAGTGAAGTGGGGGCTGCCTGGGCCCATCTCTGGGTTTCAGCAGCCCGGTGGGAACCGGTGGCTTCTTGGTGAAGCTGCCAGTAGAACTCGCACAGGAGCTGTTCCCTGAGGCACCCCACGGGGACGAGTCCTCAGGCTTTGGGAGTGGAGGTGGAGGGGGTGGAGGCTGCATCTGTGGGGGGAGCAGTGGAGGATAGTAAGGACCAGCTGCTGGGTACACCGACGTGTAACAGCTCAGATAGCTTGGTCCTAAGAAGCAGAGAGAAGAATGAGAGGGAAATGGGTTGGTTTTGAGGGCAATGCTTATTTTGGCTGCAGAGTAACAGGCTTCCCCCACATTCACGCTCAGGGAAACCACTGCCTCACCTGTGTACGGGGTGGAGGCGAAGCTGTAGGAGGATGAGGATGAGGCGTAGGAAGGCAGGGTGGACATGAAGACTGAGGTCTGCTGGATGCTGGACGCTGGGGAGTAGGTGTAACTGGAGGATGGGACGCTGGCTGACTGTGCCGCCTTAGTGGTGGGCGCCTGTGGCAGAGGCTGTGTTTGGCTGTATCCGCCGCCGGACTGACAATAAGCTCCTTTGGCCTCTGGAGAGCAAACACAGTCCCTCTGAAGTCACACTTCACCTGTCCCCTGGGAGCACAGAGCGACAGCCACACTCCCTATTCCCAATACAACCAGCCTCCCCAGCTGCTAGAGCAAACACAGGCCCCCACTTGCAGATGAGCCCAAGGCGCAGTTGGCCATGGACCACCCCCAGCCCTGAAGGCTGGAAGCCCATAGGCCTCCGATCCTGAGCTCTAATCTGCCTGGGAGTCATTTGTGACCTGTGCCCACCACCCCTTTCCAGACGCTTCTTCCTCTGTGTCATGAGTGTAATGGGTGTATACTCAGTGTGTTCCTTCTCTAAGATACGAATCCTCAGCAGCACTTAACCCCCTTCCACCCTGGCAAGGCTTCCTTGGAAAGCACTTTTAGCTTCATTCTTACCTTTCTCTCTCTCATACACACAGGCCCCTCATTGAAGAGAGAGCCCTGACAGCCACATTACTCCAGGCTCTCCTATGAATCTGGACTGTTCAAGGGTGACTGTAATGGGGTGACTCCGTGCCCTTACTCCCACCTGCAGACCCTGCAGAAACCCACCTGCCTGGCAGAGCACGGCCCTGGCGGGGAGCTGAGGCTGGCCCACAGCAGGTGGCTGACGCTGCTTGTTCTCGTAGCTGCTGACGGCCATCAGTGGTTCGTGGCCATAACTGTCCTACAGGAGGGTTTCCGCAGGAGAGACACAGAGGGCACAGAGGAAGGGTGAGGTGTGTCCTCAGTCGCCCCGTACACAGGCAGGGGGCTCTCAAGGACCTGGGTGCTGTGCCAAGGGTGGCAGGGAGTACGGCTGGATTTTGGCTCACAGTAGGGTTTGAGCTGTTGGGAGATCAGGGACTACGTGGAGGCGAGGACAGAAACACAAGGCTTTGGGAGGGGGCGGAAGCATGGGAAAAGTATGGAAGGAGAAGTTGAAGGCCTTGGAGAAACAATGGCAAGACAGGGAGGGAGGGAGGAAGGGGACAGAGCGGAAGTGTGAAGCTTGGCTCCCCAGGTGGCCTGTGGTGTCACAGGACTGACCCAACCAAGGACAATTTGTGGGCAGCAGAGGCTGGAGAGTTGGGGGATGGACCACATGCAGCCTGGGGTGCTTTGGCAACTCCGAGTAGAAATGCAGCGGCCAGATCTATGACCTGGAGCTCCGAGATGGGGAAAGTGGCATCATCCACAATGGAAGGGCCCAGAAGGAGAAGCCCATCGCCAATCACCTCTGTGGACAGGGAAAGGGGCATGAGGAGGGTGAAGGTGTGTCCTGGACTGTCTGCTAGTATAGGCTGCCCACATCACTTTTCCATTCAACGCCATCCATGTTTTCGAGGACAGACAGGTACGAGTCAGAGAAAGGTGGGCTGATACCTGGCAGGAGGAAGCAGCGGTGGGTGCGGGGGTGGTCTCCGGGAGTCGGCTGCTGTAGTCAAAGTCCTGGATGGAGTGGGGCTGGTACCCTCCATATCCTGCTGGGCTGCCAGACCCGGGTGGCCAGGTGGCCATGGAGGTAAATGGCGGGGTCACAGCAGGGCCCATTCCAGGCGTGGGGTGGGAGGTGAAGTTGGCTCCAGAGGCAGGGAGGGGAAAAGCCATGGGAGGCTGAGCACTAGAAGCACAACAACACAAAAGCCCCACTGTGTTAGATGGAGCTCAACCCAGAACTTGAGTTGGGCACATAAACCACTGGACCAGGGGCTTCAGATGCCCGCGTCCGCTGGTACCTTCCGATGATGAGTTCTAAGGGCTCTTCAGGAACATACGCAATGTCCCAACAACCCTGTGAGGTAGGGACCATCGTTGCCCCATGTTACAGAGAGGAAACTGAGGCATGATATGTGGCCAAGTCAGGCCTGGATCATCTGAAGACTTCTCAGCTCATTCACATTAAGTCGTAGTCTTTTCTTTTTCAACATCAAGATTCCACAAAAAAAGTTGAACTTTAGTGGTATTTTTAAACCAAAGGACAAGTGGATCCACCCGACTGTTAAAATACAGAAGACTGGTCAGCACTAAACTAAAAACTTCGCCAACGGCAATCGCGCACTGACGCCCTGCTCTGTGGGGAGCGTGGCTCTGAGGCTTTGTCCACACCATCCCCTTCGTGCCTTACCACCTGCAGAAGAAGGTGCCAGCGCCACCCGTCCGTCCATCTGTCTGTCTGTCCATGCTGTCTAGCTGAGGAGACCCTCTGAGGGTCACTGACACGTGTCAAGTGCTTGATTCGTTCGAACCCCCATCTTTCTGACCCCAGTGCCCCAGGCTCTGCTGAGTACCGCCAGCCATCAGTAGGCGGTCCTTACATTTAAAAGCCCATTTAAGGGGGGAGTGGGGTATAAAAAATAGTAATAAAATAAAAAATAGGTAAAAGCCAGTTTGTTGGGAAGGGCACCATCAAAGACTTTCGCCCAATACTGATAAGGATCATGTAAGAAAATTCTGAAACATATCCCTCACAAATAAGGGGGGCTACTGTGCTGTATTTAACTTTTTGCCATCTTGATTTATGTTAAAATATTTAGAAATATAGTATATAGGCTTCCATTTGTACTTTTATCCTGAGCCTCCCAAACTTAAAGGCTGATTATTTATTTGCTTGCATGTATCACAATTCACTAGCCTAGGTTCCTAATGGTAAACATTTATATATTAGTTATCTATCGCTGAGTTAAAAACTACCCCCAACTCTGGCCAGGTGGTTCAGTTGACTGGAGCATCACATGATACACCAAAATGTTGGGGGTTTGATTCCCGGTCAGAGAGAACCGGGTCCGCTCACATACCTAGGTTTCGGGTTTGGTCCCTGGTTGGGTGCACACAGCAGGCAACTGATAAATGTTTTTCTCTTCCCCTCACTCTCCCCTTCTCCCTCCCTCTCTGCTTTTCTACCTCTCCCCCACTGCCATCTCTCCCTTCTAAAAAATCAGTGAACGTTTAGTCCTCAGTAAGGACTAAAAAAAAAAAAAAATATCCTTGCCTTAGCTCAGTGGATTGAGCACCAGTCTGTGAACCAAAAGGTGACCAGTTCAGTTCCCAGTCAGGGCACATGCCTGGGTTGCAGGCCAGGTCCTTGGTTGGGGGTGTGCAAGAGGTAATCGATCAATATTTCTCCCACACACTGATGTTTCTCTCTCTGTAAAAGTAAATAAATAAAATCTTTTAAAAACTTATCATTGAAAAGGCTTCAACCATCTCTCATCTCCAGCTCCCATTTCTGTAAGTCGGGAATTCAGGACTGCTGTGGCGGGCTCTGCCTCAGGACCTTTACCAGGCTGCACTCAAGCTGTTGGTGGGCTCCGTCGTCTGCAATCTCAACTGGGTGGGGTGGGAAGCGCTTCCAAGATGTTCCTTCCCAAGCAAGAGTGCACCAGGGGGAAGCTGTCCTTGTTATGACCCAGCCTCAGACATCACAAGGCGTAAGTTCTGCCACATCCCATTAGAAGTGAACCACTAAATCCAACCTACACTCAAGAGGAGAGGATTGGGCCCCACCTTTTGAAGGGAGGAGCACCAAAGAATTTGTGTGAGCTTTGTGCAGTGGCATTATCGTAGCCAATGAGGTTTACCTGAGGTACGATTATTACTAATTGAAGAGAAAAAAGAATTTGTGGACTTACTTTTAAACCACTACATGTTATTTCCAATATTCCGCTGTTAAAGCATTAAATACTGCAAGGCATGTTCCATGTAAGTTCTACATGTGCCTTCTTGTGCCAGCTTCCCCTCGTGGCTTCTTGTCCAGCCTCGGTCCCACACCACCCGCTCCAAAAGGGCACAGATGAGAGGAATGGGGCCAAGCTGGCTGCTTAGATCCCTCTGCATTTACCCGGGAGCTGGTACCATCCTCTCCTAAATCACACAGAAGTGTGAACCCAACCCAAACTGGCAAGGGAAGGGATGGACATTGGGAGGACACCAAAGGCCATGCCACTACGGCCACCAGAAGGCTCAACAAGGGAGTCTGGTCTGCCCAAGCTGCAAGGGCAGGGGCACTCAGTCCAAGGGTGAGCACAGACCTGAGCTGAGACCTGCTGCCGCTACTGCATGAGCCACCAGAACTGCCAGTGACGCTGAGCAGCTGGCTCTGTGGAGGCCCCTCTACCCTGGCTTCCTCGCACGCCGACAGCCTCTGCCTCCAGCAGGGTTTCCCACCTGTTCCTGAAGCCCTGGCCCACAGTGGTGTCCACTGAGGGCACAGAAGCAAGTACCTCTTGGGGTGGAAGGGTGTCTCGTCCTTCAGCCGATGAGGGCTCTGAGGAAGTAGAGGCAGCCTGTGGAGCTTTCCCCACCTTGCTCCCATGGTGACCTGCCTCAGGTCAAAAGCACTGTCTTCACCTGGAGCAGGACCCCACTTAAGGAAACCACGGAGGTGGATGGTTAATGACCTTGTTTCAGACCAGAAAGAACATGTATGTGTATATGTATACACACACACACATACAGTGTATTTAGTCTAGGGCAGGGTTTCTTGGTCTAGGCACTGCTGCCACTGGGCCAGATCATTCTCTGCGGTGGAGCCGTCCTGGGCACTGTGGAGTGTTGAGCAGCGTCAGTGGCCTCTACCCACTCGATACCAGGAGCACCCCCCCACGTCCCCACTGTCCATTTGAGAAAGGCTACTGTAGGACAAGCTCAATCCCAGAACACAGGCTGGGCAGCATCACAGGCTGGTTTACGCCTGGTCCAGATCCTAATCCAGAAGGATCACAAGGACACTGCGAGCTGCCTCTGACACACGCTTCCAAGTGTAAATGTAAAAGGATATATTTTTGTGGTACATGGCCCTGAAGTCTGAAGACCACTGAGCTAGATTAGAGGGAGGGAGGGAAGGAGATGTGGATGGCTAGGCATCCAAGCCACTATGCTCTGACGTAATTCCGAGGCTGCGGTGTAGCGTCTTGGGTGTTCTGCATGCCTGCCGGGTGACGCCTACTGGTGTTTGTTTGTTTAGGGCACAGAGGACAAGGTGATTTGGTGAATGCTGATGGAAAACATCATTCAAGAGATACAAGCCAGGGAAAGTGCTGTGACAAGAGACCTAGGAAGCGCGCAGGGTGATGTGCAGTCTCCCACCGGGGAAGGCGCAGGGCAAGCGGCACACTGGGCACACTGGGTGCAGTGTCCAGCCGCTCAGCACCGTGCAGATGAACTCTTCAGAGCTGATACGACCACTGCTGGATTCATACTCTGCCCCCAGCACCTCCACTTCTTCCTGTCATGTGTTCAGCCAGTGTGATGGAACGTGTCAGATGTCAGCACCCATGACGGTGGTGTTGCCTTCCTTGTCAAACACCACCCTAAGGCCTTTGACACACTCCTCACAGGTGCCCTGTCCTTGCTCTTGGCCGGTCTACAGCACGGGCAGGAAGTGCTCAAAGTGTCCATCTTCACATTCATCTCATCACTCTTGGGGTTCCCCAGGACTTCTGAGCACCTCAGTGTGGGTGGGATTCTGACCCAGGGATCTGACCTCATGCCCACATTGGCTGTACAGAATCTTGCCCTCTCCCGTTTAGTCAAATAGCTGGAAGGCCTCCTTGAACCCTGAAGGTCTGGTCCTCAGTGAAGTCACACATCTTGACTGCTTGGCTCTGCTGAAACTTCCTGTAGTAACGGCCCCTATTGGTTTTATGAAAAGTCACAGCTGTGAGCAGAGGCTGTGAGGAGTACAGGGTCACGGTCAACATCAGCTTTCAATTCAGTGTGAGACAGTGAAATGCCCCTGACCTCACCATAGTTCACTCCTGGAGCACTTCTCCAATGCAAACAGTGACATATGCCACCTGGTGGAAGAATGGATGCACTGACAGCCCAGCAGGTAACAGGGGGACCCCTGTCCCTGAGGCTGAGAGGATGACTGAGACTCCAAAGGGTTAGGGCTCAAGCAGGGCAAAGGAAAGGGCCTGGCAGAGACACCGGGACAGGAGAAAGGCACGAGGTGGACAGGGAAAGTGCCCGATCAGCTGGGGGACAGAGGATGTGTGGGATAACAAAAAGGCGGAGGGTGGGCTTGGGGCTCTCAGATGCTAGGCTGCATCCAGGTTTTATCTATAAGAACAGCGAGTCACCAAGAAGACCCTTGGCAAGTTCTGAGCTGTTTTAGGATGCTAAGATGGGGCTATGGACTAAGCTGTGCCACCCTCAATCCTCAATTCACTGAAGCCCTAATTCCCAATGTATTTGGAGGTGGGAGCTTTAAAGAGGTAGAGTTAAACAAGGTCATGGGGTGGGCTCCTTATCCTTTAGGATGGGCACCTTTGGAGGTGCACACAGTGGGAAGACCGCATGAGGACACAGGGAGAAGGCACCCATCTGCAAGTCAAGGAGAGAGGACACAAGAGAAACCAACTCTGCCAGAGCCTTGAACCTTGATCTTGGGCTTCCAGCCTCCAGAACTGGGAGGAATAAATTTGTTTAAGCCACCCAGACTGTGATACTTAGTTATGAAAACCCATGCTAACCAATACAAATAATGGCTATTGAGGGGAGAAGCTGAGGGCAAGGACTGCTAGCAGACATGAGACACGCAGGGGCCTCAAACGGAATGGCAGACACAGGACGAGAACATATGAGACATCACGCCCGCTGTAGAGTCTGGCTAAAGGTGGCTCCCTGCAGTCTAGGGCTGTTCGAGCTGTCAAGTGCCGGGAATGTTTGATAACAATGATGGAAGTGGTGGTCATGACCCAGAAAGGGAGCACTTAGGCTCACCTTACCCTACTTGCTCATGACCCCACAAAGTCACCAACACACAGCTGTTTGCGATCTAGGAGGAGAGTGTCCCTCACTTTTATTTAGCTAAGCAAGCTCTCCGAGGTAGTGGAATGTGGAGTGTCCCTCGACCTGGGGGAGTGCATGTACTGTGGGTCTCGTGCCCATTCTCAAGAGAGAGCTTGGCATGAAGGAGTCCAGATGGAAGGGATGACGGGAGAAATGGATTTTAAACATGGCTTGGCAAAATTTGTCCACATACTTTGTCTTCTCCAGTGGTGTCCTTGTCTGGCTGAAGGGGCAAGGAAGCTCTCTGGAGTCTCTTTTATAAGGGCACTAATCCCATTCATGGGGACTCCACCCTTATGACCTAATTACCTCCCAAGTTTCCACCTCTTATACCATTGCTTTGGGATTAGGTTTCAACATATGAATTTGGGGGCGGGGGGGATACAAACCTCCCGTGTATGGCAGAATCAGTTCCACTGCAGTGCAGCAGCCGAGGCAAGGTACAAGGGCCAGAGAAATAGATTTCATTTTTAGATGGGAGGAGCTGCAAGATTTCCGCGGAAGAGTATGGAAATAAGGAGTAAAGGACAGACAGTCTGTCCTTCATCAACCCACCATATCCTGGTTTTGGGAGCTGAGCTACCCAAAAATGGCTCATGGGAAAGACTTTCTGCAGGCATCGCCCAGAGAGTTGTCAAAACCTAGATAATCTAGAGCAGGGGTTCTCCCCTGGGTGGTTCTGCCCCAGGGGACACTGGGCAGTGTCTGGGGACATCCGTGGTTGTCACAGTGGTGGTGGGGTACTCCTGGTATTCAGTGGGTGGGGCCAGGAATGCCGCTCAATGCGGAGTGCTCAGAATGGGCCCACCCCAGACAGTGACCCCTCCCCAAGTCAGCAGTGTGGCTGCTGAGGAACTCAGGTCTACAAGGAGATGGTTGGGGTCCCTGGGGCCGGGGATCTGGGATGAGAGTCCAGAATGGGGGCGGGAGGGGAGGAGCTGAACTGGTAGCAGACCAGGCTCCCTGCCCCAGGTCTGAAGGAAGAGCACCTTACACCACTTCTTGGCCTCCCTGTGGTGGGAGGTCACTGGTTACTTTGCCTTTTCTCAATTTCTAATAGCTTTTTCTGAGTCCTTTGAACTATCAGAGGAAAGCTGTTGACTCCCTGCCCTCTCTTTATTCCTACAGACAGTTTTGCCTGTAATTCCCTGGGGCTTCACAGGCCCCATGTTAAAAATCTCTGCTGGAATGGGGGCATCAAAAAGAAATCATTGAAGTTAAACGCCTTGAAGTTAAATCAGTTGGTTAGAGTATTGTCTCTCACACCAAAAGGGTGCAGGTTCAATTCCTGGTCAGGGCACATATCTAGGTTTTGAGTTCAGTCCCTGACGAGGGTGCATAGGGGAGGCAGCCGATCAACGTTTCTCTCTCACCCTTCCTCTAAAATCAATAAAGCACATCCTCAGGTGAAGAGTTTTAAAACTCACTGAGGTTGAAGGACAAACTTTATGCGGCCTAGCCTTGTATGCTGACGCATGTCCTCTTTTCTCAGGAAATGTAATCAATTCTTTCAAAGGCGTTGACTTCTCTGGGTTGTCACTTAGGCACCTCTACAGACTGAAATCCTGCGGGTGTAAATGAGACGCTCCCTTAAGAGCAAGAAGACGGAGAAAAGTTGAGGATGAGAGTGAGCATTTTGCACGAGGACCGACTTGGAGTTCAGACAGGACTGAAGCTTAGGAACTGGGTGGAGAGCTACGGCCAGTGGGATGGGCCGTGAGGTCTGCAGCCAGACCACCTGACCTCTAATCCCAGCTCTGCTCACTGGGGGCCTTGGATGAGTTGAGTATTCTTCCCTAGCCTCAGTTTGCTCACCTATAAAATGGATGCACCTTACTTCTTGGGATGGCATGATAACAAAACAAGAACCGAAATGTTACAGTGCC